AGTAGCCCTCTCTCATTGAGTGTGCAGCTTATGGGCAGAGCCAGCAAAATTGGACAGGGCCCTTGTTTCAACCTCTACATCCAGCCACGGACAGAATATAAGAAAGGCTTCATCAGGCTACAGACCTTGGGAACAAAGGTTTCCCCAAAGGTTCCTTATGCCTCCCCCCATAAAGCAGTAGGGGGGTAAAACCTCTTGTATCTGCAGATGTTGTGGCCTGAAAGCTTCACTGATGTGAGTTTTTTTTTTTTTTTTTTTTTTTCAGAGAATAATACAAAGGTTAGGCCAAACCTACGACATTGATAGATCCTATTGTAATTGATATGTTTGATCTGTAGACATCTGAGAAGAAAAGGCTCTGCTCTTGTTTTTTGCACCTTTATACTCTGTTTTGAAGTGTGACCGTTCCGTTGAATGCCACCAGTGGATAACAAGACGTTCTGGAGCATGACAGGTTATAGCTTGCACATCAGCCAGGATGAAGGATGATGGCATTTTATAAGTGATATCTATGGTGTTCTGGTTGTTTGCAGGTCTAAAAAAAAAAAAATCTATGACATTCTGGCCCAAATTATGGTTTGGATGACCTGTTCTGTGTAATTTTTGGTGTGTTGTGTCTTTTATATTGTCAGTCAGTTCATTTGTTTACAAAAATAACAGCAGATCTATCCTCAAGGAACAAGCAGTGATCTGTTAGTTGTGTACATGTGAGAAAGATTTATGGGTTGCTTTTTCTTGTACTTTCCTTTAGGGTTGGGTATCGAGAATCGAGTATCGATTGGAACCGGGACTAACTTTTTGTTTTTCCCGGAATCGTTCAAAAGTTAAAATTTCAATTCCTAGTTTCGATATTCACAGTCCGCCGAGCGGAAGAAGAAACCGCTGAACAACACCAACGAAGAAGCGTCTACTGGAAGCGTTGGCATAACCGCGCGAGTCGAACATGACTAGCTTACGTTGGCGGTCCAAAGTGTGGCTTCACTTTTCTAAAAATAACGAAATCTCGGCAAAATGCAAAATTTGTGACAAAAGGAGTATTTCCTTCAGAATGGATTATTTCCTTCAGAAAGACCGTTGGTTAGCAAGGTTAGCTAAACTTTTTTGACCCTGCCTCTTAAAAGAATCAGAATCGAGAATCGTTAGGAACCGGAATCGAAACAAGGAATCGGAATCAGAATCATTCAAATTCAAACGATACCCAACCCTACTTTCCTTCCTAGCTTAGCACTTAAAGGTGCTATATGTAATTTTCTTCTAAAATGAAACTTTTCTTCTAATGTGAAGTGGTTGTCGTTACACATTACAATGATCCACTTGTCGGGTTTTGCTATTATCTCTGAAGGCCAGTATTCCTATTTCTATGTGAAGTCTCCGGGTCGGATTTTCTGCGAAATCCATCGGATGTGACGTGCATGCGCGTTCCCGAGCCTCTCTCCTTTTTATATACAGTCTATGCGACGGCACTGCAGCTTACAAAATGAGTCTGATAACATCAGAAAACAACCTGCCTCCAGCACAACACAAACTCCACATAAATATAAAAAACAAAACAAAAATGTATCTGCCGAAGTTCGTCAGGCCAAACATGAATGAAATCGACTTAGGACGAAAACACGGATCAACTTCGGCGGAGCGTTTGAATTATGGAGAGACCTCCGCTATTTTTTTATTGTGATAAATTACAAGTTTTCAGATATGCTGAAATAATGTAACTGTAATGAAATAGCAAGGTAAAATTCAACATATGTGAGACATGAAATGATTACAAAAGACTGTTCCAGAATAACAAAAAGTAGGTGCTTTAGGATGTAACTTTTATTTTATGTACTTGATCTAGTGTGTAATGTCACTCATCCACTACTATTTATAATACACATTTCCAGTCATGTTCAGTACAGTAATGTTACTTCCTATGATCTTACTGTTACACTGAAATTGTTGAGTGTAGTTCACTAACTGTTTTCGTTATCATATTATGCATTCACCTATATTGTCATTGCTGATTGTGAAATAAGCACGAATAGTTAGTAAAATGCCTATGCTATATAGCACCACAAATGTAACGTTATCATGGTACGAGCATGGAGCATTAGTTAAACGTGTGCTGATAGTAGCCCAGCAAACACAGAATATTCCATTAACGTTCCCGAATGGTCCCATGAGGTTATTTTTTGGGAACCAAACAAAAACGTTCCATGTAGGTTATTTTTAGGTTCCATTTTTATAACGTAAGGGAGAATGTTCCAGGAACCAAAAACTAATGTTCCCAGAACGTCCCCAGAACCTAAATTTGTTTGCTGGGAGCCTATTATTGTAACGTTGCAGTCTCAGTGTGGCCGTGTACCATGAGTGCTCACTCTTGTGTTTTAGCACGCGCAAGAGCACGGGCGCTCTTGTAAAAATTGGTTGCAAATCTGAAACATCCCAGATAGAGGCCGCTAAAAAATACATATAGCACCTTTAACTTTTATGTGATTTCCGAGGCTTTCTAATTCCTGATCCTATCTGTACTCCCATTTGAAGCTGTGAGTTTTCTGATAATATGATCCATTAATTACACAACCACACACATTGAGATGTCCTTTACAACACAATCATGCTAATGTTTCCGAGCAGCGGATGGCTAGGCAGCCACGCTACAGTACTGGTGCCTGTCAGGTATTTATACAAGTAATCAGAGCATAAAACCTACTAAATGACATCTTGTGCTGTGGGCTCTCTACCACTCAATATGATACTCCAGTCAGAGCTGTAACAAATAGGGCTATTATTTAGCTATCAATTCTCTGGAGCTGATGTCAGCTCATTTAAGGATCCTGTGCTATCAGTATGGGAGAGAGACAGGTAGTCATTGATCTTGTCAGAATGTCTTACATGGTACGTGATCACTAATGTATAGATGGCCAATGTGACAAAGAAGCCTGTCTTCACTATCCTGTGTCTTTTTTGTCTCCTTACTGGTATTTGAGAGACTGGACAGAACAGGTCCTACATTCTGAAAATATTTCTATTTTGATAATAATTAGAGAAGATCACTACACTCTTAAAAGGATATCTATCTATCTATCTATCTATCTATCTATCTATCTATCTATCTATCTATCTATCGATCAATCAATCAATCCATCAATCAATCAATCAATCAATCAATCAAAAGACATCCCACCCCTCCTGGAAGTTCTGGGAGTCTCCCTGATTCCTGCAAATTATAAAACATTTCCCCAAAATCGAGCGTGTGGGACAGTAACACTGTTTCCACTTGGTATTAAGATGGTGATGATCAGCCAACCAAGACAGATTACTATTTTCACATGGTATTACAGTTTTTCTCAGTCGCTTTGGTGCATTTCTCACATCAATATTTACATTTGCACAAAAGTTAATGCAGTTCTCAAAACAATTAGTACAAACTGCAAAACTTAGTTGATAACCTGCAAAAGTGTGTCACTTGCTCAAAATGGATAACTCGTTCCTCAAAAGCAAGTATTCATGTCATTGAAAGTGTCAGTGTCGTCAAGATGAAAAGTACATCTGTTTATGAACAAGATAGTCAAATGGCTTTGTCATGTTTTCATTATGACAGTTTACTCTGTAAGTGTTTGCCAATACAAAAAAAGTCAGATCTTGGTGACACTACTTGAAAATGCTCAAGACAGTCCTATAAACTATTTGCACAGCCATTTGAAAACTACAGTAAAGTTTCACATTACTGTATTTACAGTATGTAGTGAGGTACAGTAATTGAGTAAAAGACACTGAATATGTATGTTTCACATTTTTACTGCATGCTCTTTGCAATTCTACAGTAATTTGTTCACAACATTGTGCAAAAGAAAAAAATACACCCTTATTTACAACAAACATACTGTAAACTCCCTTTGGGTAGATCGGTGCACAACTGTAAACAATATCACAGTACATATTGGAACTGAACAAACAACATACATATACTGTAAATCATTCATGCACATCTCTTCTCATCAGTGAAAGCTGAGGTTCACCTGCGAGAAATTGTTCAATTTAGGATAAAAAAGGGTTTTTTTTAAAGATAAAAATATTTGCTTGACGGATTTTGACCCACTAGTTCAACATTTTTGTATGTGATTACTCAAGCAATGAAATGAGGACTATTAGTTTTATATGGAATGACTATTCAACATTCACAAGTATAGTTAATTTGGATTGATATGACATAAGCAAATGATAATGCTATAAAACAGCAGTGAGTTGTATGAAAGCAATTGATGCATGTCCAAAAGCATTAGCAATTTGTTGGAAGGAATGAGAAAATGCAACTATGATGTGCACAAATGACTAAATGTTGTGGAGGTTGAACTAACTGTTGTGCAAATGTAAATAGTGATGTGAGAAATGCACCAAAGCGACTGAGAAAAACTGTATCACACATTTCAAATATGTCTCCTGTGACCACTTGCGTTCAGATGTCCTATTATATCTACATCATTTTCACTTTATATACTGTATATGGAGATGTTATATTTCAATGGCGATTCGACATTTTCAGTGGCCATCACTTCAATTTTCAGTGTTTTTTCCAAAACAATAAAAAAAATTAACTTTTGTATATAATACATATTGCAATTACATTCATGGTTTTGTGTCTGTCTTTATTTTATGAGTGCTTAATCTTCACTGCTGAATGTTAGGCTGTCTTCCACTGTAGAACCTGGTCATTTATTTTATGGCTCTCTGGAAAATTGTAAATGAAATGTTGAGTTGTCGTAAATGGGTTTCTTTATATAATGCAGAATTGCAGAGAGAGGCATACAGGTTTCAAAGCTCATTTAACTTTTCGCAGCGTGAAAGAGTTTGTGTGAGGTGTTGAGCATTGTGATATGCATACTAATGATAAAATGCTTCAAAGTTTCCCTTTTTTCTTGGGTGGTGTTATAGAGAAGATGCTTGGAGATATCTTTTTGTCTGTAAATGAAATGGAGGATATTTTAATGCATTGTTTTATTTCTTTGTCTCTCTTTCAGATTTGGACCTTCGGTATTTCTGGAGCTGGAGTTCTTTTGAGGACTATCTGATGTTCTGCTTTGCCTTCATGTTGCTGTGTGCTTTCATAACATTCCTCTTTCTGGACTGGGTCCTATTTGTGGAGGCCCTGGGCTCTTTGGCAGTGATGTTTGAAGCCATGTTGGGCCTGCCTCAGCTGCTGCAGAACTACAACAACCGCTCCACCAGAGGCATGAGGTAAACAAGGGACAAACTATTATTGATCATTCTTTAAATTACTTAATTTGGCCCCTTTAATTATTGTGCTTAAAATGTTGCATTAAGGGTGTGTTCTATAGGTCTTTTAAAAAGAAAACCCGACTTGAGGCAAACCCGGTAATATTAGACCAGATTTCGTCCGGACGGAAATTTTTTTCTAACACGATTGGACCCGAAAGTTTGGCCTTAACTGCATTTAGATGGTTTTCCACAAACTATAGCAACAGTACATTTGTTTTTCCAAGTAGATAAAACGTAATCATAAGCATTATGTTTCACCTCAAATTATAAAGAAATGTATATGTATTTTAATATTAAGAAGCAAATCCCCAAACTCATTCTCGGAAATGGCTTGGGTATATGGGAAGTGAGCGCCTCTGATGGAAATCCAGACCTGTTATTTAGTTAAAACTATTTTAGATTGCTTAAGTCATCTGCAACAGCAAGAAAATTATTTATCAAAACTCAAAAGGTAAATACTATGCTGTAGCCTATATTTTCTAGATCATGAATAGTATATATTTATACCATTCACGACTCTCGCAGTGCTCTACGCCATTTTGAAAAGATCAAAGGTTATCTCATCTCGGCAACTCGTTCATCAAAATATTCTACGAGTTGCCCAGTGGAAAATACCGCATGAGGGGGTGTTCATGTGCATTTTACACGTCGGCTTTTGGTATTTACCATAATTACCATAGCACATGAACGCAGCATGAGTACAGGTGAGGAGACAAGAGAATCCTGGGAAGTGTAGTAAAGATAAAGACAGACATGTGCAGACGAGGACTGTGACAACAGAAACATTTCATTTAGCACTGAAATTGTTTCAAGCTACTGGAAAATGTACTATTTGCCCAGTATTGGTGAATATAATAAAATCCAAACTTGTAAAACAATCACTACAACAACACTACCGTCCATGTATGTCAATGAATGTCCATTGTAGCATTCAAAACATGTTACAGCCTATGCTACACAACCTTTTTGTTGTTGTTGCAGTTTTTGCCCATGTTGCCACAATGTGTATTAATGTCATCGGTGCAATGGCAGGTGGAAGGAGAGAAGGTTAAATTCACACACAGTAATTGTTTGCAGGACATGCCTCACTCACATCCCTCATTAAAAGCACATAATGAAGATTATTAAAATTAGACAGCTAATGAGCTTGTTAATTGATGTTACAGCCCACACTGCTCAAATCTGAAGACTCCTTGGTGAAACAAAGTTGACCTTACTGGTACTTTTTGAAAAAAGCCCAAAATGAGAGCAAGGGAGAATTTAGAGTAAAGCTAATATCTTTAGCCTCCGGCTATAGTCAGCATAATAATCACAATATCAGCTCCACCTTAGCTGAAGCCAGCACTTTTTTTTTCTCTTTCTTTTTTTAAATAAATAAAGGGGAAAAGCCCTTCATCTCATAGTCTGTTCCACAGAACTTGATTTGACACACGCTCCAGGCTCCTCTTTATGAGCCAAATTAAACATTGTAAGCACAGTTTAGGCTGAGAGAGGGAAAATGGAAGCCAATGTAAATGTAGTTTCTCCGGAAATCCATCTTTTTTCTGAACACAATAAATGTTTCAATGCCGTCGTGTGTAATGCCTTTGCCCTTGATGTGATTTCAGCGTCTGCAGGCGCCAAGGGCCTTCGACCAATCACTGTACTAGCATTTTTTTTTTTTTTGGCACATATGCATGTGTGAATTTATTGTTGGTGAAGCCTTTGGAAAAATGGTTCAGAGTGTATTTTTGAAGCTGTCCATCAACATATATCCGTGGAAGATAACTGTCACCAAGACAGTATGCCAGTGTTTGTTTGAGTATTTATATCAGCGTTTAAATATGTAATGAACCTTTTAACCTTAGAAGGCAGCACCCAAACATTTTTGGATTTGATCTAAAGTGATTAAATGTGCTACTACTACAGTAGTAACAACAATACTTTTTCATCTTTGACAATGCAAGAGTCATTCTTTAGCACATCCCAATAACTTTCAAAGAATTTTAGGTCTGGACTCAGTGGTGCTAATTCATGTGTGAAAAATTTGAGCCTGATGAATCGTAGCATTGTTGTCCTGGAATGTGGCCATGATGTGTCTTCTTACATGGTTGTTTAAGAAAATAAAATATACACACTCCATCAATTAGGGTTAGAAGAACTGTTGCCAAACATAGCTGGACACATAATAATCATTGCAATAATGATCCAGTCATCAACTCTTAAGCATTTGCCTATTTAGATCCAAACAGACAAAAAGTGGCCAGGCACTGCATTTTAGTTTACTATCATGCAATATGGTAAAAGTCTTGAAATAAACGTAAAAAAGGAATGAAAACAGTTCCTTTTCACGTGGTTGTGGAACAGAGCTTGTGTTTGTGTTGTAGTGCCCTTGTAGAGAGAGTTTTATTAGTCTCCACATCAGTACAGTATCTTCACCAATGACACGTGAAGTACTGTCTTTAACAAGACCAACCACCCATACCCCCCTACAGTCCTTAATATGGGCCAGTAAAGCTGGGAGGATACAACAGTGCCCTTGAGCCAGACATTTATTGAACCTGAAGGATTTAAATGGCCCATCTCCCCTTGCTATTTTTTTGATAGCGCCCATCTCTGCTGTTGACCTTTTTTCTCCTTGTTTGAATCCTGTGTCCACTTCTACTGCTGTTTAAATTCATGTGTTCATTTGTGACGGAAGATGCAAGAAGCAGCGTGTGTCTCAGCCTGTGACTGACATTAATGGACCGATACCCAGCGGCACACAGACTCCCCTCTCCCATGAGCCTTTGCCCCATTTTACAACTTCTAAAAGGCCCTCAGAAATCTTGACAGTGGCTTTTTTTTTTTTTTTTTTTTTTTTGAGTTCAGATTTGTATTTTTACTGAAATTGATTCCTAGTCTTTTTCAATTTAGATTTTGGACCCTGAGGGAACTGTTTATTTGAGCAAAAGGAGCTCATCCTATTTTATCCTTCACTCTACCATATTCAGTGTGAAATTATATTATGAATATATCATCTTTAGCTTTGGGGTGGACTGTTTGATAATGGTTTTAATTATAGAGATGTAATGACGCAGCGGACATGGACTCTCACCTTGCGAATTCTCTAGTCTCTTACAGACTATAACACTCATTATCCTTGTTTTAAAACATCTCGTCTGATGCAAGAAAAGACCTCAGATACAGGTTGTAAAGGGATGTGAACGAGAACTATAAAGTTTTAATAATGATTCTAATTCGAAGAGAAAAGGGAAGTACACACCACAACTATAAGAAATATAGAGGAACGATATCATTGGAATCACTTTCAGAACAATGATAAAAACATGGATAGTCAATCCATACAACTTTACAATGAAATCAAAATGGATTTTTTTTGTGAATATTTCAGTGTTTATTATAAATTATTTATCCATGCACATCATTCTTTAAAGAGATAGTTCATCCAAAAATGAAAATTCTGTCAGTAATTACTCTCCCTCATGTTGTTCCAACCCCGTTAAACTTTAGTTCATCTTCCAAACACGAATTAAGATATTTTTTGATTAAATCTGAGAGCTGTCTCACTCCTCCATAAGCTTCTAAGGGACTGAAACTTGCCGGCCTGAAAAGTTATTAAAGACATCGTTAAAATAGTCCAAGTGACTACAGTGGCTCAATCCTAAGTTAATCAAGCGACGAGAATACTTTTTGAGCGCAAAAACAAACAAAAATAACGACTTTATTTCAACTATTCACTTCCTTCTCTATGGGCCTCTAGTCAGTTAACGTTGTGTGATAGCGTAGAGCTACGTCACACGTAAGCTCACTATTGGCCGACGCTGGTCATGTGTGTGATGCTTGTGACGTACAACAACAGAAGCTTACGCTGTTACACTAGTGAACTCACTCGAGGCCCACAGAAAAGGAAATGAATAGTTGAAATAAAGTCGTTATTTTTGTTTTGTTTGTTTTTTGCGCACAAAAAGTATTCTCGTCGCTTGATAAGCTTAGGATTGAGCCACTGTAGTCACTTGGACTATTTTAACGATGTCTTTTAATAACTTTTTGGGAAATAAGTTTCAATCCCCGAAGAAGTCTATGGAGGAGTGATCCAACTCTCAGATTTCACCAAAAAATATCTTAATTTGTGTTCCGAAGAAGAAGAACGAAACATGAGGGTGAGTAAATACTGACAGAATTTTCATCTTTGTTTGAAGTATCCCTTTAAATTCATGTGCCCTCGTAATCTTTAATCAAAATTGTATCATCTCCCTCTTGCAACGACACCTCTTCTCATCTTTTCTCCGATGACGTGATACGGGGCGAGAGCGGGAAACACGTCACTTACACGAGATTCCAGACAAAATCCTACCCTACATTTTTTTTTCTTGTTTGCGAAGCCATTTCACTCGCATATGTCATTAACTTCCAATTCATGCCGACTCTAAAGAACTTGAGCATTTAAAGTAGTAGATGACGTATAATAAACAAAACATAATCATCTTTCATGTGGACGCTAACATAGTTATCTTTATTGTTTGGAGTTTAATTTTATAAGTCCCAACTATACTCAGATTGCAAACAATCACACTGCTGCCACTGTCTTTCACCTGCTGTCTCTCACCTGATTTCTCTCACTCTCTCAGTTCAGACACCTCCACACAAGCTCTAAAACATTTTTTAAAAAGTTAACCAAAAAAAGTTTGAGCCACTCAGCTCTAATCTTGGCTGAAACCAGTTTCTGGGCTCCATGCTAAGTCGAGAGCGTAGTTAGCATCAGGACCCTGCTGTGTTGATGAAGCCAAGTGCACTGTAATCTGTCTCCCTAACAAGCAGGGACACGCAGCTAGATTCTCCCACGAGACCGAGCTTCGCCATGGGCCTCACTGCTCACACAGAGCCCTGATCGGCCCTGATTACCCCTGGGAGCTTCACACTCATAGGAAATGTTTCCCGTGTTTATAAAAATAAAGAAGCTGTAGATTTAACTTATC